GGTGCCTGGTAGAGTATTACTGGTGCCTGGTAGAGAATTACTGGTGCCTGGTAGAGAATTACTGGTGCCTGGTAGAGTATTACTGGTGCCTGGTAGAGTATTACTGGTGGCTGGTAGGGTATCACTGGTGCCTGGTAGAGAATTACTGGTGCCTGGTAGAGTATTACTGGTGCCTGGTAGAGTATTACTGGTGCCTGGTAGGGTATCACTGGTGCCTGGTAGGGTATTACTGGTGCCAGTGTGCAGACTGTATTTACCTTATAAAGAATTGTTGCTTCATATTTGAGGATTGTTAGTTCTTGCATAAGGAGTATTGGTATCAATTTGAGGATTACAGCTGCCAGTGTGCAGATTAGTGGTGTCAGTTTGAGGATTATTGGTAATTGTTTGATGATTATTAGCAACTGAAAGAGAATTATCAGTACCAGCTAGGAAATTATTGATGCATGAAACAGAATTGCTGATACATCTCAAAGCAGTAACTGGTGCCACTTTGTGAATGGGTGCCTGTAGGAGCATTACTGGCATTAGTTTGAGAATAGTTTGTACATATTTAAGATTTGTTACTGTCCTGTTATCTGTGTTACTGCATATTGTGAAGTCAGAGACATCTGGTATGGTTATGTGAACTGAATGCATAACAAACTTTTTGAGTCTGTTGTTTTTCTTCTTCATTCCACTTTTTGTTTGTTGTGTTGATTATCATTTCCTGATCAGATCTTTACCTGGTAAGATTGATGCAGGGGGGAGTGACTAGAGGTTCTGGCAGATGCTCAAGGCTCAGATGAAAGGCAAGACGGACGCTAAATCAGAATGCTTACTGGCACCATTAGTATCGATACTCTTCACTGGCTGCTGAAGATGGGAACGGAGTGCTTATTTGAATGGGCTGAGTGCTGTGATGTTGGTTCTTGAATCAAATCAAATCAATCTTCATTACCCTGTTTTCTGTCAGTGTCTGTGGTTTAATTTATTACTCATTTAAGAATCGACATCTTAGCACACCAGGCATACCCATAGATGCTCAGTCACCCGCAGCAAATGACGTAAGGTGTAGATGCTAACTTTTCCCATAGCACACTAATTATACACACACCGATTTCCTCTTATCTGTCCCTCCTTGCCGGATCCACACTTAATTCCTCGAACACATATTCTTGCCCATGTTATTTCATCTGATCTCATGTCTTCTGCCAAAAGCCGTTCATATATGGTCTTCAGAATATCTCCTTTGTCCAATACGAGTGTTTCTGTGGCTTTCGCTTTTGTAGCCAGAAAATCTGCTCTTTAATTCCATCGCACTCCTGGATATCCCAGACAGTATATCCACACGATTCCCTGCAATGTTGGCGAACCGATGCTTGGTATCCACTCATGCCACATGAGTCCATTTTGAACATTCCACAATGCCGAGTGAGAATCATAATTAAGATTCTAGTTCAATTTCAGCTATGGGAGATTTGGCAGCAGATTATAGTGCATTTCATTTTGACCGAGGTATCAAGAACCGACCGTTCAGTAGCAGTGGCAAACTACTGAAGCTATAATTGCCTGGCAAAACCAAAACGGCTGACACATGCCGGGGTTAGTTCTGTAATATCCTGAAATCAGGGCTATTAAACTTGTGGCCCGCGACCCAAAACCAGCTCCCTGAGACCCAGCAAATGGCCCCTGATCATTGAAAGTTGTATTAAAGATCTTTCTATCCTGGGACTCGGGTTACTGGCCCGCGACGATCCTCTTTTTTAACATGTTGTCCCCTGGGAATGTCAGTTAAAAGTGCGGATGCAACGAACTTCTAATTTGAACCAACCAGTTCTGCCAGACCCAGAGGTGATGTCAAACTCTGTCACGAACAACTACCGTTTATAATTAATTCTGGGCAATCCGATTTGGTGGACTTTTCCACATGTAAGAAAATTATTTTCAGATCATTACGAGCCTATATTTTAATTAATTAAAAAAAATATTCCTCTTTAGACCATTCTATAAGCATTAAGCTGTCTTAGTCAAGTTTCAGTTTCTCTGCAATTGGGTTTCGTTCCGGTGCCAGTAAAAATCAAATGCAATGTCCCTCACTATCTCATTAAAAAACAAACTGGAAAACAAGTAATTATTCCCGGCACATGTAATAAATGCATAGGGTAGTTGCTAGAGGTGCCAAAGCCAACAGTTGCCAGCAGAAATGCAGTTTGTCATTGGTGGAAGTAGTTGGTCATAAGCTGTCTATACACGCGCACAATCATTGCATAAGGTATGTTGCCAGCCCACAAGCTACAGCCAGCTGTATTGAATTCAGCATTATAAATTTTTTTTTTAAAACAGCTCGCAGTGGTGCACCAAGCACTTATCAGTGAAACTGTAGACAGTTTTATATCACTGACAGTATGCTGTGGCAGACATTTGACATTAAAGTACTAGCCACCACCACTGTCATTCTCAAAACAAAAGCCTGGCCAGCGTAGACAGGATTACCGTTATCTTAAAAATTTAGAGTACATCTGCCTGAGAAGCAATAAACCAACAGTCTGCACACAAATAAGCCAGATTTGTAAAATGGAAGTGCCCAAGTCTTAAAACAAGACCAAAATGTTATAAGTAGAAAAACAATCAAGACTTTCTGCCAGAGTTTACAACCAGTGAACGTAAATAAGATTATTCCAGCATCTCTGTCTTATTTCGTCAATCTTCATTGAAATGCTTCTCTTGGATGTTAGTGCAGTTAGCGTGCAATGAATCGCAAATTATTCCTCCTCATAGCACTTAACTCTTTGAGTCCCCGGGGGTTTAGCATCACAGGCCCAGGGAGTAGTAAACAGAGTCATAAAATCGGCGCATCATGCGTTCATTGGGCTTCTAGGTAGGAACCAATGAACATATGATGCGTTCCTTGGGACTCAAAGAGTTTTAGCAGAAATAGTTTATGATGATGATGATACAGGTGTGAAGGAAGCATTATTCTGTCACGCAACTACAAAATTCTTAGGTAGACTCCAATTTGAAAACAGTTTTCTCAAAACAAGGAATTAGCACTTCGTTAATCGCCACATGCCCCGCCCATTTACACACTAGCTCACTTCTGATTGGTAGTTCTTGAACCTGCCACAAGGTTAGGTGGTGTTCCACAATGTCGATATCGCGTGTTGTATATTTCAGCACGCCAGCGCTTTTACCTTAAAAAATATTTAGAAACTGGCCCTAACACAACCCCCCCCCCCCCCCCCCAGAGTGCTGCAACATATGTCACAGTCATTGTCTTTCTCAGAATGAAAACGTAAATGCAGGGCAACACAGAAAGCAAACAATAGAGCGGGACACGCCTGTAACCGTCAAGAAAGTCGACCAGCCCAACAAGCTTGTGAATGAAAAGTGACCTACTTTCTTTGGGGAGACTAACGTTAATCTAACCTGGAAGTATATTTAATTTTATCACAAAGCCATCTTTTGCTAATCAAATATTTTTATCACAATTATTATGTTGTGAAACATACTTGATGGATAAAATTAATTCGAAGAAATCTGTATTACAATGGACTGTTCTCTGTGTCACAGATAAAAGAATGTTTTCTGTCAAAAAAAAAAAAAACCATTACAATTCTCAAATCACAAAGAGCTGTATGTCTGACTGTGTCAAAAAAAAAAAAGATTCTTTCTTTAACTGTCACTGACACACACATCCGTTTTACAGATCTGGCTGGTTTATATGCAGACTGCTGGTTCCTTGCGGCTCAGGCAGATGTATTCCTAATTAGTCAACTTATACAATATGCTTGCTAGGAGGCAATTATCTAGCCCCCCCCCCCCCCTCGCCCAACATATTTATGTCAACTTAGTAATGCAGTAGTAATACAGAACTTAGTAACATTATTAAAAAGCCATCAGCAGAAATGATATAAAACAAGAATACCACTAAAAGGTAAAGTCAGGAGATGTGAACCAGCGGTCACTGCACACGGTTATAAACCATAAGTGCTCAGCCACCAGTACGGACAGCTGATAGAAACTGTCCGCCTGTGTCACCGTCCGCACATAACTCACTCAGTTGGCAAAATCTTCGTCCTATCTCATCAACGTTTTTTTCAGTGTCACTTTCTTTGGCAGGGCATTCTTTTCAGATGGCCAAACCACCTCAATCTCTTCCTCTGCCTTTCTAACCCCCTAATGGAGCATAGGCCCTCAACCAACTCACACCAAGAGGTTCTAATCACTCGCAGCTGTACCCATCTTTTTAACTTCATCCTCTAGCACCCTTCTCCTGGGTTTTTTAATCTTCCTTTATTTCTGTGCTCCTATGGGTTCCGGTGCAAAGAGACATTCTAGTTATGGTTTTCTCACCAAGTCTCCTATGCAAAGCCAACGTCTGTTCTTCACATCTTGGTCCACTGAAACTTGTTTACTTCTCTTCAAAAGCTCTACATTAGTGATGCTACTTTACCATTTAATTCCCTCTATTCTGCTCAGGCATCAGCTAATGAACATCTAGTTCATTAGTTCATTGCTTTAGCAGGTTTCTGTCATAGTCTTTAGCTAGCTTCTTTTTTAAAAATTCTACATAATTGTATGACTGCTGTCATTCCCTGGCTGCAACAGTTATAAGACAAAGATGATGATGCTTAAACTGGAAATATCCTGAGAAGAAACCAGCAGAGAATCACCAAACAGGCACTAAAATAGGAAATACAAGGATGGAGGCAGCGAGGATGTCCAAAATAAACCTCAAAATGATGATTAAAGCCAAAGGGACTGAACTGAATTACATCCATATGAAAGGGACTGAACTGAATTACATCCATATGAAAGGGACTGAACTGAATCACATCCATATCAAAGGGACTGAACTGAATCACATCCATATCAAAGGGACTGAACTGAATCACATCCATATCAAAGGAACTTAACTGAAATATGATGTTAAATAGCACAACAGAATAACATGATAGCAATGATGACTGCTTTTAGTCCAAGTCCTACAACTTCTTTAGTTTTAATAACATTTCATGTTACTTAGTAACATCACTCGGCCAAAATATATCATCAAGAAAGTTATCAGCAGAATTTCTCTGCCTGGTGGCATTGTCCACAAAACGGGCCACCTTGCCACAAATGTCCGCCTCCTTCTGCGACCACTTCAGATACAAGGCTGGCTCCCAGGAATGGCGGACCAATTTGAAAAGATCGAGGGTCGCTCGAGCATCCTCGACGGAACAGTGGCCCTGTCGACCGACCTGTATTTGTCTATCTGAAACAGAGAACCCGTTGGAGCTGTGTTAAAGGAGTGGACATCTTGGTGGAAGCATGAAATGGATTATGATATGAATTCTTACATTACATGAAATCTCACAATTTAAGAGAGACAACAAAACAAAACTATTAGACAAGTGTATTAGAAATTTAACCAGAAAGACAAGTGTATTAGAAATTCAACCAGAAAGACAAATGTATCAGCAATTAAACCAGAAAGACAAGTGTCTAAGAAATTCAACCAGAAAGACAAGTGTATCAGCAATTCAACCAGAAAGACATGTGGATTTCTCTCGGAGAGGCTTTAGAAAAATAATTCTGCGTATTCTTGTTTGTGTAGCCTTATGTACCGATGAAGGTTTTCTTGCTGCAGTGTTCATTTGTTTGTGGAGCTGTATGTACTGATGAAGGCTTTCTTGCTGCAGTGTTCATTTGTTTGTGGAGCTGTACCTACTGAAGAAGGATTTCTTGCTGCAGTGTTCATTTGTTTGTGGAGCTGTCCCTACTGAAGAAGGATTTCTTGCTGCAGTGTTCATTTGTTTGTGGAGCTGTGCCTACTGAAGAAGGATTTCTTGCTGCAGTGTTCATTTGTTTGTGGAGCTGTGCCTACTGAAGAAGGATTTCTTGCTGCAGTGTTCATTTGTTTGTGGAGCTGTGCCTACTGAAGAAGGATTTCTTGCTGCAGTGTTCATTTGTTTGTGGAGCTGTATGTACTGATGAAGGATTTCTTGCTGCAGTGTTCATTTGTTTGTGGAGCTGTATGTACTGATGAAGGCTTTCTTGCTGCAGTGTTCATTTGTTTGTGGAGCTGTACCTACTGATGAAGGTTTTCTTGCTGCAGTGTTCATTTGTTTGTGGAGCTGTGCCTACTGAAGAAGGATTTCTTGCTGCAGTGTTCATTTGTTTGTGGAGCTGTATGTACTGATGAAGGCTTTCTTGCTGCAGTGTTCATTTGTTTGTGGAGCTGTACCTACTGAAGAAGGATTTCTTGCTGCAGTGTTCATTTGTTTGTGGAGCTGTCCCTACTGAAGAAGGATTTCTTGCTGCAGTGTTCATTTGTTTGTGGAGCTGTGCCTACTGAAGAAGGATTTCTTTCTGCAGTGTTCATTTGTTTGTGGAGCTGTATGTACTGATGAAGGCTTTCTTGCTGCAGTGTTCATTTGTTTGTGGAGCTGTACCTACTGAAGAAGGATTTCTTGCTGCAGTGTTCATTTGTTTGTGGAACTGTATGTACTGATGAAGGCTTTCTTGCTGCAGTTTGGTTTGGTATTTCTTAACTGTCAGACAAACAGAGAGGAATAGAAAGATACTCTCTTTCCACAATACTATGGTCACTCACTATTCTTCTTCTGCCTTCTAACCCCCAGTGGAGAATAGGCCCTCAACCGACTCACAGCAAGTGGTTCTAACCTTCGCTATTCCCCGCAACTCACCCCAGGTCCTCCCCATCTCGCTTCTCTTTTTGTGTGGGTCTGCCTTTATTTCTATGCCCCTGTTCGTTCCAGTGCAAAAACATTCTAGTTATACTGTTTGCAGGTTTTCTCACTGTGTGTTCTATCCAATGCCAGCGTCTTTTCTTCATCTCTTGGTCCAATGGAACTTGTTTAGTTCTTCCTCAAAGCTCAACAGCGATTTTATCATACCATTTAATTCTTTCCATCCTGAGCAGGCATCGGCTAATAAATTTTTATAGTCTATTAATAACTGTTTTAGTTGCATTTCATGTTTCCGTACTTTACAGTAGTAGCAATCTGACACTGGAATAATAATTTTAAGTTTAGTAGTTTTAATTTCTTCCCTCCACAAATTACTTAATGCTATCATGCTCCTCTTGCCTTTTGTGTACGTATTTTGAAATATCTATCAGTTCCCCCATCTTTATCTACATTACTGCTCAAATAGATGTATGACTCCACGTCTTGAAGTGGGATACCATTAGGAGAAACCATACTATTATTTGCCTGATTTATTCTTATTAATGAAAGCAACGGCAGACATTAATGAATGAAAAGGACAGAAATATATGGAAGCAAGAGAGAATTGACTAGAGACTATTACAATCAACCTAAAGTGTGAAGATGACACCTGACTAACGTCAGTTCTCCCTTCTCACCTAATAAGGCCTCTGACAATTTCTTCAAACCGTTTCCCTTGCCCTGAAGCTGTGCCATCTCCACTAGCTGGGCGCACTGAGCCGTGTCTCGTACAAAATGGTGATCTGGTGTGATCCCTAAAACCTTGAAGTCGTGGTACACGGCATGGCCGATCACAACCTTGTGCTACAAACAGAAAAATAACAAATGTACATACAGTATATTAATGTAACAAACAAAAAACTTTAATCGTGGGTTTCAGGGTCCTGCTGTGGTGAATAAAGAACAAACCTCCTGCCCTCTCCAGAACGAGCATGTCATAAAAGCTGACTAACTAGTGGTGTTTCCTTTGAAGTCAGATCGTATTTGTAAGGAGCCAAAGGTCTGCATACAAATAGGCCAGATAAATCAAAATGGATGTGTATGCAAAACTCATGTTTTTAGGACAAGACTAAAGTCCAGAAGTGGATAAACAACCAGAACTTTCTGCTGGAGTTTATAGCCGGTGAACGCGAAGAAACCGGAAAACAAACAATGTCAGTCATTCCACATTAACTTACTGACTTTCTTTTCTGAAACATTACTTTCACATGTTATACTGTTTGTGTGTGTCCAGAGGTTTCATTTTGGGACAAAAATAAGAACATACACATAGCGACCAACAAACACAACATAAAAGGCGACTGGATAAGGGTTTGCTCGTGCAAACCTAATGTATAGGAGCTGAAAGACAACAGATTTAGCAGCCGAGCTGTAAAGCACAACCAAGTCACCATCTTAAGGGGAAACACATGTGAAGAAGATAATATGAAGAAAGGTTTTTCCGCATCAAGCAACCTGTCTCATATTGACCACTTACACTATACACCTTCTTAACGTACAATCTATATGACCTACGACCATCTGTACTAATCTGCTAAAGGAAAAAAATTTTAAAAAGAGCAGTGAAGTGTTTTGGCCACAAAGACATAACACTTTTTTAAAACAATACTGAAGGGAAAAGTTCAAGGCAGGGAATAAAATGTGAATAGTGATATAAGTGGGAGGATAACATTAAAAGATGGACAAATCACAGTCACAGAGAGTTATGCACAGAATGAAAGGTCTAGTGTCATGGAGATCTGCTTCATCCAACCATCCTTTATGGCGGAGAGGGCACCCGATGGTTGACTAATACAGCAGTATCTTGCGATACATCTTCAATCCGTTCCAAAATCCCTGGACTTATACAAGATGTATATCAAACAACATTTTCCATAAGAAATTAAGGTAGAATAACTATTCCATTCCCATGAGATTAAAAAAAAAAATTCTACTGTTTTTGACATATTATACACTGATGGGGTTGTATAATTACATCTCTGCTGTGCTACGGAGGCCAAAAGAGCAAAGTGGGAAACTTTTGTGAATGATATGGGAGGCGATAAAAAATGATATGGGAGGCGATAAAAAATGATATGGGAGGCGATAAAACATGGGGAAATTCTGGAAACTGCAAAGGCAGATACAAAGAAAAGATCAGCTTATGACAGTCAGAACAATTTGTAGAGATGATGGTGTGCTTGTGACAACAGACAAGGAGAAAGGGGAGGCTTTTCTCCATAGGTTTATAGCTCAGACAGATCATAATGATGTAAACATCAGGGATGCAGTTAGAAAGGAATTAGCTGGCACCTTGAAGAATATGCACTATCAAGACATGATACAAGTGGAAGATATCAAACAAATTTAAAAAAAAAGCAAAAGACACTGCACCAGGGCCTGATGGTGTCAGGTATGGTCACATGAAGGCTTTGAGCGATGTAGACCTGGCAGAGATGGCCAACTGTTTTAACCAGAGCATTAAGACAGCATCACTGCCGGAGGGCTGGGTGCACAGCTATCTAATCTCACTACCAAAACCTGCTGCTTAATTTTAAAAAATATATAAACTACAAAAGCAATTTGGCGAAATAAATAAAAAATGTAACATCACTCTACTTTGTTGAGAAGAGATGAGTTGCTACTATGATGGGTTTGTTAAGAAGAGATGAGTTGCTACCAGGATGAGTTTGTTGAGAAGAGATGAGTTGCTACTATGATGGGTTTGTTCAGAAGAGATGAGTTGCTACTATGATGAGTTTGGTGAGAAGAGATGAGTTGCTACTATGATGAGTTTGGTGAGAAGAGATGAGTTGCTACTATGATGGGTTTGTTAAGAAGAGATGAGTTGCTACTATGATGGGTTTGTTAAGAAGAGATGAGTTGCTACCAGGATGAGTTTTTCGAGAAGAGATGAGTTGCTACCAGGATGAGTTTGTTGAGAAGAGATGAGTTGCTACCAGGATGAGTTTGTTAAGAAGAGATGAGTTGCTACTATGATGGGTTTGTTAAGAAGAGATGAGTTGCTACCAGGATGAGTTTTTCGAGAAGAGATGAGTTGCTACCAGGATGAGTTTGTTGAGAAGAGATGAGTTGCTACCAGGATGGTGCTAAGAAGGGAGGAGCATAATATGTTACTGTTTAAAATAAGAATCCCCGTCCAATAAAACAGTTATCATTTGATGTCATCTTTCTTTGTTAACTGATACAACAAAGAATTCTTAAAAGCTATATAGATTCTACCTTGATATATGGAAGTGAATCATGGAAAATTGGTAGATTAGTGACCAATTATTTGGAAGCTGCAGACATACGGTTTTATAGACAAATGATGAGAATACCTTAGATAGATAAAAAAAAAAGAGTGATGAATGTGACTCACGAAGAGAATTAGTTGCCAATATTAGAAAGTGAAAATCTAAATTCTGTGGTCATGTGATGAGAAGGAGAAAACTGGAGTACATCTTAACAGTAGGAAAGCTGGAGGGGAAAAGAGGCAGAAGGAGACCAAGAGAAAAGATGCTGGACTGTCTGACATCATGGTATGGAGGATCAGCTGTGTCAGAGTTAACAAAGTACACGAGACAGAAGGTTGTGGTTAGACATGACTACCAACACCACACAGCATGAAGAAGAATATAAAATTCTGGTGTTTTTCTGTCTGTCTTCCCTACTTGGACCTGGTTGAGGCTCGAGTATTCTAAACAAAGGTTATAAATAGAGCAAAACTGTTTTTGTCTAAACAGGATGTGTACCAAGTTGTAGAAAGGGTGTGTATACCGAGGTACCATTGTAAAAATCAAACGAAGCATATACAACATAAAATTAACAGAAACTTACGGCCAGGCATTCCTTAATGTCTCTCAGTGCCAAGTCTCTGGACACAGCAGTATTCATATGCACTGGCCGTATTCCACTCCAGGGCGTCCTGTAGTCGGTGATGGTTTCAGTTGGCTGAATGTACTTGTCATACAAAACAGAGCCTTCATAGTCAACAATGCTGCAGCGGGCTGAGGAAAGGACATTAAAACAGGACTTTACCCAATGGTTTTGGCCATGATGTTGTTGTGTCTGTCAATCAGTCAGCCATTACTGAGAGTAACAAGCATCCTTTGGATATTTTCTCAAAGGCTCCCTGGAGTTTTGGGAAAAGAACAAGAAGAGAGACTGGCAGGTTCTGCAGGAGGCAGAGGTGTTGAACAACACGTGGTTGTGCACCAGAACTAGTGCTCAGACCGGTCAAGACCTGCCTACATCTCTCTGTGGTCATCCTATAGACAATTTTCTATGGATTTTGCACTTAAAAATAAAAAGAATAATTGCCGGAGCTACAGAGTGCATGCTCTGTGTTTGATACTATCTTCAGGTGGCAACAGAGGGAGTAAGAACAGAAGAAGAAGAAATAAAGAGAGAAGAAGGGTGATGGGAAATGAGCAGATAGATAGACTGGACGGTTCAGTTCCGCACCACTTGGCGGTGAACTGATGTATGACAAGCTAGATGTTGTGATGGCCCTTTGGGAGCGAGTGAACAGTGCGGAGGCACAGATTATTGCTGTCTGAGGAGAATGGCGCTGTGAGGAGTTATCAGGGGATCTGGCAGAAGCTTAACACTCAAGAGAAAGGCGAGATGGACATACAATCAGACAATTACTGGTGCAACCAGAATTGGAACTCTTCATTTGCTGCTGAAGATGCGGACAGAGTGCTTATGGGGATGTCCCAAGTGCTGTGATGTCTATTCTTAATTCAGCATTTAATCCTAGAAACAGGTTCCCAACTGGAGCTTGGCCAACCTACACAGGATAAAAAAATTCCTTTGAAGTCGGAATACATATGCCTGACAGGCAAGGAACCAACAGTCTGCACACATGTGAGCAATATCTGCCTCTATCAGCAGTTTTCTTTTTGGATTTGTTCCATTCCAATCCTTTGTCAGTCAGGGACTGTCGAATGTTGTCTTTCCACCCTGGGTCATCCTGGAGGTCTGGTTCCTTGGTTCTTAGCCTGCCATGGTGGTCAATCATTTCCCATTTTGCAGACATGTGAAAACCATCCTAACTGTGACTGATCCACTCGAGTTTATAAGGCCAGTGATTCAAGATCTTGACATACCGTCTGACCGCCAGATTTGTCCCCTAACTGTTTACACCCGTTTCAAAACTTATTAATAATGTTAATAGGTGCTTTATTAATATCCCACCCCAAACAGGGGAAATCCACGGGACAGTCTAATAATTCAGAGAGTGGTAGATAGGCTGCATGCAGTCGTGGGACCTAGGCTGCACTCTCTCGTGGGACATAGGTGGGTTGGGGTTAGGGCCAGTTCTAGATGTTCTGGGGTCGTTAAAAGCATCAGAAAGCCGGGAAACCCAGTCTTACCACCCTCTAAAATGTTGGACTGTCCTGTGACGACATCTGGGGTAGTATATTAATAAAGAGCCTGTTCATATTTTGAAATAGCAAATGTGAAAAACAAAATTAGTAAAAACAAGACAAAGAAGAAACTGATTAATTTATTAGCCAGCTAGAACAGTGGCAATATAGAATCATGAGATAGTGCAGGGCTATTCAAACGACGACCCTCGGGCCAAATCTGGTCCACCGAGGCCTACCAACTGAACTGCTGATCATTGCCAGTTGTACTGTGCTTTTTATGTTCTTGGGCTTCTGGTCCATGGAGACCCCTTGTTTTCAAAATCTTGGCCCCTGGCTAAACTTAGTTGAACAGCCCTGATCTAGGGACTAGCAAATAAACACACGACTGTGTAAGCTAGAACTAGTGAAACCTACCCAGAACGCTTTTCTTTCCTTTGGGTCCCACACCGACCATCTCACAATCAATAGCTACATACATCCAGTCTGGTATGTCTACTACGGCTGGCAGTCGAACACCACTGCCTGTCGGCCTGTGGAAAAACAGAATGTATTAATTAATGGACTCTCCATGTGAGTTTCTGGGTGTGAATTAATGGACTCTCCATGTGAGTTTCTGGGTGTGAATTAGTGGACTTTCCATATGAGTTTCTGTGTGTGAATTAATGGACTCTCCGTTGAGTTTCTGTGTGTGAATTAATGGACTCTCCGTTGAGTTTCTGTGTGTGAATCAATGGACTCTCCATGTGAGTTTCTGTGTGTGAATCAATGGGGGTCTCCATGTGAGTTTCTGGGTGTGAATTAATGGAGTCTCCATGTGTTTCTGGGTGTGAATTAATGGAGTCTCCATGTGTTTCTGGGTGTGAATTAATGGAGTCTCCATGTGAGTTTCTGGGTGTGAATTAATGGGGTCTCCATGTGAGTTTCTGGGTGTGAATTAATGGGGTCTCCATGTGAGTTTCTGGGTGTGAATTAATGGGGTCTCCATGTGAGTTTCTGGGTGTGAATTAATGGGGTCTCCATGTGAGTTTCTCTGTCTCTTGGGGAATGGGGTAGACCCACTGACCCCCCCCCCCCCCAAAGCATATAGTAAAATTCAACTTATTATGGACGTTTCCTTTCAAGTCAGAGTGCATCTGCCAGAGAGGCAAGGAATCAACAGTCTGCACACAAATAAGAAAGATCTGTTAAATGGATGTGCACGTTGACCAAACAATCAGAACTTTCCACTGGAGTTTACAGTCAGTGAAGTAGAAAAATTCATGACCTGCCGAGCATTAGGATTAAAATTTGCAGTTGGGAACTGAAAGAGCGAATGTGGCACTTATGCAAGAGACCTAATGAACCAGCTATAGACAGGGGACTTCTGTAAGAAAACCAGGCTCAATATAACTGAGTACCAACAATTTATGTAGTCTATGTGGCCGAGACAGCCACTCCCACATATCTTCTTCTTCTTTTTTCGCGTTCACTGGCTGTTAACTCCGGCAGAAAGTTCTAGTTATTTGTCCATTTCTGGACTGCAGTCCTGTCCCAGAACCTGAGTGTTGCGTGTTCATCCGTTTGATAGATCTGACTAATTTGTATGCAGACTGTTGGTTCCTTGCCTCTCAGGCAGATGTACTCCGACTTTGAAGGAAGCTCCCAATTAATCGACACTTACGACATGCTCTTGGGTAGGCAGTGGGTCTATTCTTGTTTTCCCTATAATAGGGCCCCGGAACCCAAACGGGGAACTCCCACATATGACTTTAGCCACAGCAAATGCTGTTCTAAAAACCAGAAGTGCAGTTCTATAGGGACTGATGGTTGCCTGCAATATTTGTGAATTAATGGGCAGCCTGTCTGTAGTTTGTACAGTTAACAAATGTAAATTAATAGAAAGCCGGACAGCACCATATTTGTTAATTGTGTAAGAAGATCATCATCATCAGGTGCCTTGCCGACTGGCGTGGGCAATCATGCCTCTCCATAATCTGCGATCTCCTGTAGCATGCATCAGTTCGTGTGCCGACACACCTCCATGCCATGCAACAAGACCATCAAGCATCTTCTCTCGTTGTCTTCCTCTATCCCTCCTTACACAGATCTTTCCAGTGGTCACAACATGTTCTTTTTTCCCTCTTCTCATAACATGGCCGAAAAATGATGACTGTCTCCTTCTGATGTCAGTGATAAGTTGTCTTCGGGCTCCCGCCTCTTTTAAAACCTCTTGGTTGCTCTTTTTGGCTGTCCAAGGTATTCTAAGCATTCTTCTGTAAAACCACATCTCTGAGGCCTCCAAAAATTGTTTGGCCTGCCTACCGATTGTCCAGGATTCACATCCATATGTTAAAACTGGATGTATGTAGCAAGCAAGAATTCTTTTTCTAACTCTCAATGACAAGGATAAGAAGATAAATCCAAATTTGTTAAGTTTAAAATTGGGAAGTTGTCTTATACATGAAATGTATTTTTATATTCACTTTTTAATTTATCCTAAAAAAATAGGGGGTTGTCTTATGCATGGGAAAATATGGTAGTTCGTAAAGTTAACAAATGTTAATTCAAACACCAGTTCTCAAAATTGCATTACCATCAGGAACAACGCCAGTAAGTTTATGCAAACAAGGTTCACCATCCTAAACAAACACGGATCAGGTCAGTGCTCCCGACTTGTCCGATTCGTGTGGCCAAGATATCCAGGTACTTATCCATTTGTGTTCCCCCTCCTCTTTTCCATCGCCAGCTATCAAGTTTTTCTTTCAAGTTTAATGCGTGAATTACAGGAGCAAATCAAGAATGTGTTATGTGTCCATCTTCACAGCACTCCGGACACATCCACAGGTGCTCAGATTCCCCCTTCAACATATCCATCAGTGTTCTGTGGTTAACTGTGCCATGCTGCTGCTTCTTCTTCGCGCTCATCGGCTGTTAACTCCGGCGGAAAGTTCTGGTTGTTCGTCCACTTCTGGACTTAAGTCATGTTCCAGAACTTGAGTGTTGCGTGCACAACAGTTTCACAGGTCTGACTCATCTGCAAGCAGACTGTTGGTTCCTTGCCTTTCAGGCAGATGTACTCCGACTTCGAAGGAAGCTCCCAATTAGTCGACTCTTACAACATGCCTTTGAGCAGGCAGTGGGTATATTCCATTGGGGAAGTCCAATGCTGATTAACAAGATTTCTAGTGTGCCTCTCATGCTTGGCTGTGACGATCTTTACTCCAATTCTTATATTTTTAGCAGTGATGTGGACATGTTGCTTCCAAAATCCTCACAATGTCCTATCTCTCTAGGGACATTAACAGTGTCGGCGTGATCCATAAGGCTGGCCATCAAGATGTACTACAACGCTACAACAAACTGGCACAATCATGGAAATAAAAAAGTGAATGAACCCAGCAAGGGACTAAGACTTTAATACAATCTAGTATCCGAGAAAGGTGGCTGGATTACTCACACAATTCTCTCAAGACTCGCTTCATCGCTTCTCTAAAGAGGAACTATATGTTATATTCAGACTAAGGACAGGGCACAACAGACTTCGTCAACATATGTTCAAACTTGTCGGTGCGGGAAACACGAAGACGTGTCCATGCAGCATGGCACCTGAAAATGCTAAGCATGTGCTCCAACACTATCAACTGTATGCTGCCAACAGAAATGCAATTTGGTCTGTTCCAACCACAATTAAGACAAAAATGATTGGTACACGAGGAGATAATGCCTGCGCAGTAGCTTTCAAAAAGGATACCAGCCTTGATTGAAGAATAAGTGGAAAAAATGAAGTGATAAAAGACAATACATACCCTATAACTTGATGACTTGTATCATCTCCGTCCAACACGATGGCAGCAGCTGCAGAAGCACCATCTGTATTAAAGATCCTCTTCAGACAAAATGAGTTATCTCTATCATGCAAGATCCATTCTGAACTGGGTGTTCTTGATTCGGAAACTCCGCTTTCACTTGAACTGCAACCACTTTCAGTAAAACTTTCTTCAAGTTTCTGTTCACCACTATATTTGCGAATTTCAGCTTTCTCCAAGTTGTTAGACTGTTTCTTTATTTTGGTTTTGTTCTTTCTGTCAAAGTTGGGCCATACAGTAAAACCATTGTAAGTAACACTACGTGCACTAACAGAAGCACCACTTTTCTTGTTCTGCACGTGATTTGAACCTACTTTGGCCTGATCTCTACGTTTATGAAGCCCTAGAGAATAACCAGGTTGTGCCAGTTTACTGCTTGAAGCAGGAGACTCTTCTAAATTTTCATCTTCGCTATCACAAGAAGAGACATAATATATTTCCTCACACGAGCCAGTTTCTGGAGTTGATTTAGCCACACAAATGCTTCTTTTCAGCTTGTCTTTCAAGAGTTCGCATGAATTTTTACGTACCCTTTTCGAACAATTCCTTTCACTGTGACCTTCAATAAAACTGGCCGTTGTTCTTTTCCTGTTGACTTTAACCAAGCTCGCTTGCCAGCTGTTGCCAGGTTTTTCATTACCATCAATCTGCATTTTCTCAACAGCCTTTTTCTCATATCGAAAACCAGCTGCTCCCTGGAAAGGCTGAGTTGGCGACGTACAAGCCTGATATGTGGAAGATGATTGTATTTCACGAATGTTAGAATCTGTCACCAGAGAAGACATTACTGATGAAGTTTTGGCTTTTTGTTTAATGTTTCTCTGTTTCTTTCCTGAAATCCTGCTGTTCCTTTTTCTGGCCGCTAGGATGAATTTACGGGAAACTTGTTTCAGCAGTTCTTCCTGCGTGACATCATCATCATCAACCAGAAACAGTTGCCCCATGTTTGGGTATCAGATTCCATTGATTACGTCTGTCACGCAAAACTGAAAAAAAAAAAAACATAAATAATTTGTTAATGCCCTAGTCATGTCACGGGATTTGAGGAAGAGGGGGTGGGGAGAACTATATATTATAAACATATGGCATCACCATCAGTGTTATATCATACAGTGATATATATGCATTATGTCAAACTATTTTATATTCACAATCATAGTGTTCATATAAACAAAGAAAACAATGTATACAATAATACATAACTGAAAGTATATTATAATGTTGTGTAAATACTCACAGTATCAAACTAACACATTTAGTTTAGTACTAAGAAATGAAGCAAACAAAGCAAAGGGAAGACCACCATAAAAAAAAATTAGAATAACGGCTTCAAGCGCGACCTTAAATAAATTAACACCAACTTATTTAACCCACTGGAAATTAGAAAGCTGAGAAAGAACACATAGAAAATCGGTGACATAATTAGTTACAACCCTCCCCCCCCCCCCCCCCCCGACCTTTTTTTTAAAACAATATTTAATACAATTTCTATTACAACAGTTTTTGTTTGTGGAATTGACTGGTAAAAAAGAAGGGCATAAGTGAATACTGATTAAAAGTTTTAAGAATCAAAATCATAGACAATAACTTCGCACATTGGGCTTACCCAAGGATGTTAACTTCGCACATTGGGCTTACCCAAGGATGTTAACTTCGCACATTGGGCTTACCCAAGGATGTTAACTTCGCACATTGGGCTTACCCAAGGATGTTAACTTCGCACATTGGGCTTAACCAAGGATGTTAACTTCGCACATTGGGCTTACCCAAGGATGTTAACTTCGCGCATTGGGCTTACCCAAGGATGTTAACTTCGCGCATTGGGCTTACCCAAGGATGTTAACTTCGCACATTGGGCTTACCCAAGGATGTTAACTTCGCACATTGGGCTTAACCAAGGATGTTAACTTCGCACATTGGGCTTAACCAAGGATGTTAACTTCGCACATTGGGCTTACCCAAGGATGTTAACTTAGCACATTGGGCTTACCCAAGGATGTTAACTTCGCACATAGGGCTTAACCAAGGATGTTAACTTAGCACATTGGGCTTAACCAAGGATGTTAACTTAGCACATTGGGCTTAACCAAGGATGTTAACTTAGCACATTGGACTTAACCAAGGATGTTAATTTAGCACATTGGGCTTACCCAAGGATGTTAACTTAGCACATTGGGCTTACCCAAGGATGTTAACTTGGCACATTGGGCTTACCCAAGGATGTTAACTTGGCACATTGGGCTTACCCAAGGATGTTAACTTAGCACATTGGGCATACCCAAGGATGTTAACTTCACACATTGGGCTTACCCAAGGATGTTAACTTAGCACATTGGGCTTACCCAAGGATGTTAACTTAGCACATTGGGCTTACCCAAGGATGTTAACTTAGCACATTGGGCTTACCCAAGGATGTTAACTTAGCACATTGGGCATACCCAAGGATGTTCTTTCTTCTAGAATTTTTTCATGTGGACTTCTAGTAATGTTTCTCTACTCTGGGTAGTGACATGTCCGTGTGTAAACTGTATTGTTGCGCACATAAAAAAAAACACAAACTTGGCAGTTGGAAATCAAAAAGATTAGCCTAACGGCGCTGCCCGGGCAAAATTTAGAGTTAAAGATTGTAATGGGGGATATTTTCCACTCAGTTTAGGATGGTTGGGGGGAAAGCCCAAAGCTGACCAAAAACACTGTGATAGTCCAAATACTTGGATTAAACGAGAATCTGGAGATAGGTGACTAACCACTAGTTATCACGGGGACCACGGTGATGCGACCCAAGGTCGCCACGGGAAAAGTAAAGGACCACCACGTGTTGTCACGTGAAAGGAACCCGTGGTATAAGTCAGACTTGACTCTGGTCAAGTGGAGGTTTGTGTCGACCTGTTGGAGCGAGAGGACGAGCGTCTGAATGTGCGAATGTCTACGTGAGTGCCTGAGGAGAAAGGAGACCTGCCGACGAAATGTTAAGCTGAGATCAACCATGCCAGCGTGTGAGATGTCCAAACGTCAGTGTTGAATCCATGGGACCCATCGTTGCTTGAATGCCTGCAGAAGACTGTTCGTTAAAAGGCTGCGTGAGTTTGTGTACGAAAGCGGTTCAATTAGACATCGACTGGACGATTCTCTTTTGTCGTAAGTTTTAATACGTCAATAAAGTAATGTCTCGTAAGCTCACATCGGTGTCGGCTTGTGCCAGGTGTGTAAAGTGAAGCGTGTCAGAATATCATCCACCACACACGCATGAACACCGCCTAGACGACGAGTAGAAGTACAAACCCATTCATTACAAAGATCTATCCAAAGTATTTTCAGGATCCTTGCCGGTGCTATAGAGTTTCGTGCACTGTGCTGAGATTATTCGGACTCAGGCTTGAGTTAGAAGTAGAACGGAGCTCTTATGTGTTACTACCTCAGGCTTGAGTTAGAAGTAGAACAGAACTCTTATGGGTTACTACCTCAGGCTTGAGTTAGAAGTAGAACGGAACTCTTATGGGTTACTACCTCAGGCTTGAGTTAGAAGTAGAACGGAACTCTTATGTGTTACTACCTCAGGCTTGAGTTAGAAGTAGAACGGAACTCTTATGTGTTACTACCTCAGGCTTGAGTTAGAAGTAGAACGGAGCTCTTATGTGTTATTACCTCAGGCTTGAGTTAGAAGTAGAACGGAGCTCTTATGTGTTACTACCTCAGGCTTGAGTTAGAAGTAGAACGGAGCTCTTATGTGTTACTACCTCAGGCTTGAGTTAGAAGTAGAAAGGAGCTCTTATGGGTTACTACCTCAGGCTTGAGTTAGAAGTAGAACGGAACTCTTATGTGTTACTACCTCAGGCTTGAGTTAGAAGTAGAACGGAACTCTTATGTGTTACTACCTCAGGCTTGAGTTAGAAGTAGAACGGAGCTCTTATGTGTTATTACCTCAGGTTTGAGTTAGAAGTAGAAAGGAGCTCTTATGGGTTACTACCTCAGGCTTGAGTTAGAAGTAGAACGGAACTCTTATGTGTTACTACCTCAGGCTTGAGTTAGAAGTAGAACGGAGCTCTTATGTGTTACTACCTCAGGCTTGAGTTAGAAGTAGAACGGAACTCTTATGTGTTACTACCTCAGGCTTGAGTTAGAAGTAGAACGGAACTCTTATGTGTTACTACCTCAGGTTTGAGTTAGAAGTAGAACGGAGCTCTTATGTGTTACTACCTCAGGCTTGAGTTAGAAGTAGAACGGAGCTCTTATGTGTTACTACCTCAGGCTTGAGTTAGAAGTAGAACGGAACTCTTATGTGTTATTACTACCTCAGGCTTGAGTTAGAAGTAGAACGGAACTCTTATGTGTTACTACCTCAGGCTTGAGTTAGAAGTAGAACGGAGCTCTTATGTGTTACTACCTCAGGTTTGAGTTAGAAGTAGAACGGAGCTCTTATGTGTTACAACCTCAGGCTTGAGTTAGAAGTAGAACGGAGCTCTTATGGGTTACTACCTCAGGTTTGAGTTAGAAGTAGAACGGAGCTCTTATGGGTTACTACCTCAGGTTTAAGTTAGAAGTAGAACGGAACTCTTATGTGTTACTACCTCAGGCTTGAGTTAGAAGTAGAACGGAGCTCTTATGTGTTACTACCTCAGGTTTAAGTTAGAAGTAGAACGGAGCTCTTATGTGTTACTACCTCAGGTTTAAGTTAGAAGTAGAACGGAGCTCTTATGTGTTACTACCTCAGGTTTAAGTTAGAAGTAGAACGGAGCCTTATGGGTTACTACCTCAGGCTTGAGTTAGAAGTAGAACGGAGCTCTTATGGGTTACTACCTCAGGCTTGAGTTAGAAGTAGAACGGAGCTCTTATGGGTTACTACTACCCATGTGCCTTGATATCGATTTTACTGAAAGATTGCATTTCCAATTTTCCGTCTACGAACAGGACAGTGCAGGCTCAACTACCACATGTATAAAATAAAGATTGATCATTATACAGTCCCCACAGTGTGCCTGTCAGACAGGACCTCAAATACTTGGGAACATTCCTATTTTCGGCCTCGATAATATATTTATAATTTGGGACGGTTATTGAGTTATTCGGAGGATAGCTTCGTTTTAGCTTGTTTTTACAAGTAAACAAAAGACACACACACACACATCGGCATCCGATCTTAGTAATATAAATAAGTAAGAAGTCTTGTCTTAAATCCATAACATGCATAAACACATTTTTCATTGATAACCGTAAACATCAAACAAGACGAGTTGTTACAAGTGCTGAGCTGAGTCAACTGAGTAGTGTCAGCAAGTCAGAGTAGTGTCTAAACTGTCTAACTCATAAAACATACTTTTATTAAGCATAAATGACAGAGTAGTTAAATGCACAATAATACTGTGCCATACTATACGAGAAAGTACGTTCACAATAAAACTTACAATAAAAACTTTCAGAAGCGAAACTCTCCTTCGATTACAAACTCCACGTGAATGTACCGAACACACCCGCAGACGCCATTTTATGGACTGTTTGTACAATTTTGGAATTGAAGAGTTTCTGTGACAGCGACTTCATCATGATGTAGCAATCGGTTACAAAACGTCGCTCTCAACACAGCCCGCCCGGGGGTAAAACTCCATCCCCCTCATGCACTATCCATCTTCAGGTGTCTATTATGCCCTGTGACCATCTTTCTGCTGGTATACCCATGCCTCTCTTGCCGGACACCCTGCTACCCCACCACTATTCATTCAATGCCACAGTGACACTTAATGTGGCCAAATATTTCAGCTTCTGGCACAAGACGCTGTTTACGAGCCAGTTTTCCATGATGTTCAGATTGTTTAGAATCAATGTTTTTGTTTTCTTTTTACTTACTCAGCCGATCCTCTTCTACCCGGGTATGTAGAGGTTAGTTATTAGCCAGAGGGGTGTCCCGACTTCTCTGACAGGTTTTTTAATTTGTTTGTTGGCTTTGCTA